TGCATACAAACACAAAGCTTCACGCATAATGTCTCACAAACATAGTTTTGTATCTTCATAATAACTCATTCAAAAATATCCCTTTCCCATTATATCTTTTTATTAACCACTGATATAAGTTTCTCTAAATTTTTTCTTCTTATCTTTACAACTCCCAAATTGTTTCTCCTTATCTTTAGCTCTTATGACATCATGGGGTATGATATATGGAGTTATACTTATGATATCAATTTGATCTCAATTTTGTTATAAAGTTGATACAATTATCTAAAACTCTTATGTTGACCTCACAAGTTGATTTTACCATCTATTATTTTAAAAAAAATTTACAAAACTGCAATATTTAAGCTTAACTCTAACAATTTGACATTTTCTCACTAATTTGATCATAACATGAGTTCTAGACCTCCTTTTTGGTTGATTCAAGCTCCATTGAAAATCTAACATCTAAGCCTACAACTCTTTTGACTACCACAAACCTAATTTGGTTATCTGAGGAACCTCGAAATGCTTACAAGTTTTAGATGTTTTGTTTTGTGCACAAAACATGACTCATATTACAACTCACATAGATCATTGTTTCTTAACTTTTTTTAAGTGATTCTTGAGTCTAAACTATAGCTCCAAATGTATAGTTTTTAACCCAATGAACAAAACACTATTTGGTTAATTGCGTAGAGAGAAATTACCTAAATGTTGATATATGTTCATTCTAGCTACAGTGCAAAAATGCGATCGGATAGCTAAACACAAAAAAATATACAATAAGACATAGCATACACATGTAATCTCATTATCACGCTTGGTTCATTCATGACATAATAAACAATAACATATAACACTATAATGCATATGTAATGGATATGAACTACATATTATAATGCATGTGACACTAGTAAAAACATCACACTTGTGCATTGCTGCTAGCAATACACATAAAGTAGTATAGAAGTATATGTCGGATCACATCCTCTACGCGCTCTCACTAGAAGGACAAATTACCAGGTTTTACGAGATAGCTAAGTCGTGCAAGATACATCCTATACATACAAGGGTAGGATTGAAGCTTCCAAATCGAGTTATCCCCAAGGACTAATCCCTAAACTTTTACACAAGGGAGTTTTTCCTAGTGGCATGATCCATTTCATACCCTTAAAACACATTTTTATGTGAATGATGCATGTTAAATAGACTCAATGCAATAACATACACATGATCTTATTTCACATATCACATATTCCTCATATCACCTCATATATCCCATGTACATTCTCAAATACATCAACTAATCATTAGTAAAAATGTAGTATCAAGATCATAAGGGTAAAACAACCATCTAATAGTCCTTGAGCGAGTTGAGCTCCATAGAGCCTTGTAGAGCGAATAACATCCAATTGAGCCACCAACATCTACTTGATTGACCAACATCTAGCTGAGTGAGTTGAGCTCCTTGGAGCTTCTCATTGAGCGACCAACATCCAGTTGAGTAAGTTGAGCCTCCTAGGGCTTCTCATTGAGCGACCCAACACATCTTGTTGAGCGAGAACACAATCTTCCTTCCTAGAAATCACGTTTCCTTAGCGACTTCATGTTATCCACATCCAATTTCATGCATAAATACATATACAATCGATGAAACTACTCTATAACATGCGATTAACATTTTGAATCACTCAATTTACACATATCAATCAATATCTTCACAAACTATCACAAATTCCCTTAAGATTTCCCATGGGAACCCGCATGAACCTCAAACCATACAATTACAATCCAAAACATATAATTGATCATACGTTCAAACAATTTATGTCATTAGGAACGTGTAAGAAGAATAAGAGGCTAAGAAAACACATTTAAGGAAAATCCCTCTTACATAAATATACAACAAAGATAACATTGGTGGCGAATCTCACTACCCAACATACAATCTCACACTTAGAGCAAGGTTTCTCATTGTCCCCTTTACCTAGATAAGCACTAGATAACGGTTGCATGACTTCGAGGTGATTGCCTTCCTATTCTTGTTCTCTAAGCTCTGAAACACATATATGAAAATAAAAGGGTAAAAGGATTTGATCAGAAATCTGTTCTTTGAAAAATCTTAACCTTTCTTTAACTCTATAGTTAAAACACATTAACTATAGTTACAAATTCCCTTTCCTATTAATAAACTATTATAAAATTTAAATAAATCATATAATAAAACACCTTATATTATAATCCAAAATATATCAAATAATTAAATAAATATTAAATAACTCTTATTAATAAAAATCAAAAATCAAAAATCAAAATCATCAATAAAATACTTATGAAAAACAAAAGTGTTACATGTGTTGCACAAAATTGTGTTTTAGTCTTTTTCACATTTTAAACAAGTCACAAGTTTCTTGCATTTCTTGTTTTGTTAGAGGAAAAGTTTGATAACTAATATTAACATAAGTGATAATGGTTCGTATCTTTTAACTATAATATTTAGAGTTTGAATTCTAATCTTAGATAGAAAATAAATTATGTTAGGGAAACAATAACTTTTTAATATGTAAACTTATAATCTTTAACAAAAAATTTAATTATTAGTTTTAATATTTCATATCAATATTACAATTAAAGATAACAATTCTATGACATAAAACGTGCACATATCTAAATATTCTTCACTCTCACACAACTGGATTCCCTTGCCATCAAGTTTCTGGTTTCCAAAGAAGGGGCAAGTACAAAACATTCTATTTTGGGACGTTAGTTTATCAAATTTGGGCAAAGCAGGTTGAAAGCAAAACCACGTGCGTCGCTAACAGAAAACTGAAAAGCGGATTTAAGCGTCTCCAATATTAGGGCCCTAATACTCAAAAGTCAAAACCTGGAAGATAAAACCACGTGCGTGCCAACTTTTCTACCCTCAACTTTATAATGATAATTACTTTTAAGTTTTAAATCACTTTTTCATTCATATTATCAATTTTTAATTTTTAACTTACCATTAGAATATAGAAAAATATAATATATGCAAACAAGTTTTACACGCTAAACTTGATATTTTAGCTCTTTTTTTTTAGAGAATATTTTAACTTTTTAAGACTAAACTTTTGATCTACTTCTTTAAACATTAGTCAACATTATTTTTTAAAATATTTGTTATATTAAGTCATTCAAACATTAAAAAAAAAAGTATAAAAAATAACCTTTATTTGAAACTTCAATGATAATGATAATTCAAAAGAAAGATTATTTTTTTTTATGTTATTTGGTAGACTTATTTAACATCATAATTTTTAATAATTACTTTAAAATGATATCCATGTAATTTTTAATTGATTAATAATTTAAAATAAAATTAAACTCTTAATTATTTTAAAATATGAAATTATACTCTTGAGTCCCATAATTAGATGACACAACAGTCCATTTGCCACACATGCACATACTTAATTTAATTATCAGCTATTATCAAAGTAAAATATTAAATTACTTTTTAAAACAATGTTATTTTATTCTCTACAATTATTCATAGTTAGTTATTTTTATAATTTTAATAATTAAAATATTCATCAGTAATATAAATTAAATGATATTTTATAATTTAATATAAACATAAATATGTTTTTAATTGTTTTTCATCTCGTAAGATTTGAAATTATTATTTTAACTCTTACTATAATATGACAATTTTTAATTACTTATGTATTTAATCGAAGATTATGTGATCATTTTAGATAATATTACAATTTTCTGTGATATTTTATTTGTATGTGTCACTTTTAAATTTTTGTACAAATTTTTAAAATAACTATTGTACAAATTTACTTTTATATATGTGTACATTTATGTAGGTTCGCCTTATTGATGTCGATTTATTGAAATGACCTACATAATCATACCTTGACATTAGTCTTGGCTATGTTGATTGTCAAACATGCAGAGACGATTAATACAATCCTTAAGTACTCAATTACTTAACTAATGAAAAGGATAAACAAGATTAAGAGACTAACTTGTCATCAATAGTTATATTACCTAATTAGTAATTAAGAATAAATACCCCACAGATCCAAACCTATTATGATTAATATAAATAATTATATAAATTTAGATAAAATTACTATTTACTTATTGTTACCCTAGATACTTGAGCTCTTCCTTAAGCGATAAAATATTTTTTACAAATACCTTACCTTTTCTTTTGGAATTGTTAGTCAACTGAGGAGTTCATAGCCTAACGTTAGAGATTTAACATTGTATTCTCAAACAGGTACAAAATTGAATCAATCATCATATTATTTAACAAATTTTATTTGAATCATTTCAAATTAAAAATTATTTGAATCATTTTAATAAATTAATTTGAAAATTGTTTTTCTTTTTTACATATTCCTATTTACAAAAATTATATTAATTCAAAATTATGTAATACTTTTTTATAACTATATTTATTTAATACATCTAATCTACTTAACACATATTTTTAAATATATAAATATGAATCATTTAATTATTTTTTTTTATCTTTGTTGTTTTTCTAAAATTTGACACAAATAAATAAAATAAAATAATATTATATTTCAACAACTAAATAGTTAAAAATTACATTTTGTGCAAACTTATTAATAATATAATATTTGATGTAAGTTACACATATAATTTCATTATTCTAATTTTTTTTATTATATGGATTAAATAATATATTTGTTAGAAATTCATTAAGAACATGTTTAAGGCAATTATGAAAATTAGATTATTTAACAATTATCAAAACAAGATTTTTTTATTTTGATAGATTTGTTAAAAATAATTTTGAGAAATTTAATTTTGTTTAAATATAAAAAAAATCATGTTTAGGTAAAATTGTTAAAAAAAAAAAAAGAAGTCATAAATTTACAAAGTTTAGCTTTTGTCTAAGCATACAATTTTATTTTATCATTACATACAGTTAAAAAAAGACTAAAATGTTGGAAAATAAATTTTTGAAATATGGTGTGAACAATGAAATTGATTTAGTACCAGATTTGTGAAGCTAAGTAAGAAAGAGATTAGAGAGGTTGGTAGTAGTTGCACCAGATCCCTCACCAATTACCATTCATTCCTTCAATTCAAACCCAAACTCCAATATTTCTCACTCTTCTCACCTACCCCTTTCTCTTATAAATTTCCCTTTTTTATTTTCCACTCTTTCTTCTCGCCTCACACACCCATCATTCAAATCATGGATTTCTTGCAAGCACCAGAGAATCAAATACTCGTGGGTGTGGCCGTGGCTGTTGTAGCCATTGGGGTTGGCGCAGTCTATCTCTATTCTTCGAAGAAGCGCAATGGTTTGACCTTCTTCAACTTCATCTTTTCCCCATTTCAAATTCCATGCTTCTGCTTTGATTTATGCAAAAGGGTCTTCTTTCTCTTAGTTTTGTATGTGAGAGAAGATCCAACATGTTTTGTCGTTTGAGAATTCGATGTAAACGAGGTAGTTATATTTTTTAAAAGATGTTTTTTTTTTGTTCCCTCACATAAAATTTAACATTGATAATGACATGAAGGGCAGTACTTATGTGTTTGATAAGGTCAATAGTGTGCCTAACTTGCCAGCTTCAGTTGCGTAATTCTGCATGGAGAGTGCTCGTTGTATTTGTGTTCCAAGTTCAATTTGGTTTTCATTGGAATCGATCTGATGTGAACTACTCCTTGGCTTGATTTCTGTTCATACACTTTGTTGGCGCATGTTTTTCCCTGCTCTTGAGTCTTGGCTGTTTGTGTTTCTGATTAATTAATATCTCATCCATGCAAATTTGTAGGACTTTGCATCCTGTTTGTCACTTATTCAGGCTGAATTTTGATGAATTTTGGGTTTTTAATCTAATCATTTAGAAATTCTTGGATATTAACATTTTTGAATCATCTGGGAACTCTTCAGCTTCATACTTGTTATTAGATAACCTTGTCTCTGCCTAGTTGTTTAGGTTTATTACATGCTAATTCCGTTTGGTCAGATTTTGCGTTTCATCCTTTGAGTATCTTAGGGGTTGTTCAGCAGAATTATATGGTCAGGAGTCCATCAGACCATAACTATTCACTAATTACTCTGAATGGGTGACCATGCTTACTCTCTCTGTTCTCTATTATAAGCAAAAAAAGAAGCACACAGATTTTTTGTTCGTAAATATAAGTAAATTTCAACTACTTTTGTCTCATTTAATGATACTCTCCCTAAAATATTCATCATTTAATGCATGATTATTCAGTTGCACCACTTCTTTTGACATTTATGATAAGGACAATTTAGAAAAAAATATCATGGAATTAGTAAAATTTAATGTAGATAACGAATTTCCTTAGCATGCATAAAATTAGTTTTTTTTCTTCTTATAATAGAGAATAGTGGTAGCATGTGTTAAGAGTTCACAGTGCTATTTTCCAGCTCATTTATGTGCTACTTCCAGTCGTAATACTAAAAGCACTGTCACTTTCCTCTTCTTCACAAAGTGCATTAGTTTTGCTATAGATTTTCTTATTACATGGAATCTTGTTTACACTAGAGAAAGTGAAAGACCTTGACTACATCTTTGATTATGAAATTAAGTTACGCTGAAGCTTGGTGGCAGCCTGAGATAATGTTGAACTCAGTGCACTCAACCTTCAGTGTTCGTTCATGTTAAATTTGGTTATTGTATCTACTTCAAGTGTTCATTCATGTCTTCCATGTGCTTATAGGTTGCTTGGACCCAGAGGACTTTAAGGAGTTTAAACTTGTTAAGCGTGCACAGCTGAGCCATAATGTTGCAAAGTTCACATTTGCACTCCCAACACCTACATCTGTTCTGGGCCTTCCAATTGGGCAACACATAAGTTGCAGGTTCTGTTGCCTGATCTTTTCTCGTGTCCTTTTTCCTTGTCATTGCACAGTTTGTCTTAAGTCTAGCCGAGAATAGTTACTGCGATCTTTCAATTATATTATAGTGATAACTAATAAATAATAAAATATTACAAGAATTATTTCCATTTTTTAGTTTCTTTATCAATGTTTTGTTGTCACATTGTGAACAAACAATTCTTCAAACAGGGGTAAAGATGCTCAAGGTGAAGAGGTTATCAAACCATATACCCCTACTACTTTGGATTCTGATGTTGGACATTTTGAACTAGTTATTAAGGTATATTCAGAATCCATTGACTTCATCCTTGTGCTTTTTCTAACTTAGTTGCATTATTTTTTTTGTTTACTCCCTTGATTATTTGGTTGTTTCTAAAATATGCATTAATCAGATGTACCCACAAGGAAGGATGTCACACCATTTCCGTGAGATGCGTGTTGGTGACTACCTTGCGGTGAAAGGACCCAAGGTAAATGTTTCTTCTACACATTTGTATAAAAAAATTTCAGTGTATCACATCTTAGTAACATTGATGCTTTATACTTGTTCACATATAAGTCTTGTTCCCAGAGCCTCAGATAGTTCTTTTAGAAATTTCTAGTACCTTCAGTATATTTGAAGTTGTTTTAAATTTTTTAATTATTATTGAAAATAGGAAATCAAAACAGAGAACATCTTGTCAAAGCAAACAAGCTGTTATTTTCTTGCATATTCTCAACAATATTATCCTGCTAGATTGTTAGACAATATTTTGGGACTTTCCATTTTGAGAAAGCTTATGAGTAATTTTAGAAGCCATTGCTCTTTGTTCGGTATATCCTGGTAGTTGGACTGTTCACCCGCTCCCTTTTTTTTTTTTTTTTTTTAAACTGTTTAATTTGTTATTTGATCTTTTTTTTAATTACTCAAATTAATTGAAAATAAAGTGGTAAATTTAAAAGTGATAAATATATATATTTTTTCTTATCTTAAGCTGAATTTCTAGCATTATTTTAAATTTTGTGCAGTAAAATATTATAATGTTAATTTTTCTTTTTGGTTGTAAACCTGCAATGAATATTTGCTAGTGACAATGTTCCAGCATTGTCTCTAATTTTCATGTCGATCCATTTGATTTTGTAGGCTCTGCATAGATACTTATGTCCAGTTGGCCTAGCTTTCCTTCTTTGACTTTGCAATGAACCTTTTTTATCTTTATCATTTTTCCTTTTATAAAAGGCATTTTTTTCATTTCCCTCTTTTTTTGTCATTGTGAAACACAGTATGTTATATGCATTTCTGAATTCATAATGTTTTATACCAAGTAAAAGACTTGTTATTTAGATAGTTGGGCTTTAAAACATAAATGCTTCCATTTCTAGGGACGTTTCAAGTACCAACCTGGCGAGGTTAGAGCATTTGGGATGCTTGCTGGAGGGTCTGGAATCACCCCAATGTTCCAAGTATATCATTAAGGACATGCTGTTCTTTTCATCATTAAGAGGAAATTTTTTTCATGGAATTCTGTGTTACTAATTTGCTTGCTTCTTGTTGCTGAAGGTTGCTAGAGCTATATTAGAAAACCCTAATGACAGGACCAAGGTACATCTTATCTATGCCAATGTTATGTATGAGGACATTCTTTTGAAGGTAATTAATATTCTTCATAATTTCTTGATTCGCATTAATCCATTACTTCATGCTGGCTATAAGTTCTATGACTCTTGATTTGCTTTAATCCATTAAGATGCAATTTTTTATCATTAAATGGCAAACCCAGAAATGACAGTATGTGATAGCTGTCCCAAAATGTCCCCAAGGTCATTTTGCTCAAGTTAGAAGTCGTTCTTAGGAGTCATAAATATTAAATAGGATATGGAAATATATATAATTTGGGGTAAATTTATGTGTCCATTTGGAAAAAGTTAGATTATGTCTCTACCCCTTACATACTTGCCTCTGTGGGAGAGCTTACAAACTGTTCTAGCAATTTGTATCTTGCTGCAAGAAAAATATTTGTTTCTTTGGTTTGAGGTACAAATCTATTCTTAAGAATTCTATAAAGTAAAAGAATTGAAGAACTGTTTTCCTGCAGAGGCGATAATTACTTTCCTCAACCTTGGTTCATTTCCTATGTCAATGCTATCATAGAATAGGCTTGTATCACAAATTCCTCTCACTGGCCAATGCCTGCATTTTGAAACTTGTCATTGATGAAAATCCACTTATTTGTGTGTACAGGAAGAAATTGATGGTCTTGCTTCTAACTATCCAGATCGATTCAAAGTATACTATGTGCTGAATCAGGTTAGTTTCCATGGCATGTGGAACCATAATTTTCTTCTTGTCTACTACATTTGTTGCTTCTGCTGCTTCTGCTTTGTTTCTATATTTTCATTCTTCTGTAATCCCAAACTATAATTCTTGTAAGCTATAATTATGACCATTTGTTTTGATGTTATTCCCTTGAATTAAATAACTCTCCAGCCTCCTGAGGTATGGAATGGTGGTGTTGGATTCGTGTCAAAGGAGATGATTCAAACCCATTGCCCTGCTCCAGCACATGATATTAAGGTAATTGTTTCATTATTTCACTTCATACTCCAAAGTGAAGTTATCATGTTTTGTTTTTCTAATCATAGTGTAAAATGAAGATAAATGATTAGACGCATTTCTTGCGGATTTTCAGATTTTGAGATGTGGTCCACCACCTATGAACAAGGCCATGGCTGCTCACCTTGAAGCCATTGGATATGCTCCTGAGATGCAGTTCCAGTTCTGATTCTCTTCATTGTGGTGCTTCACATTACATGCATTTCTTGTCCCTGGCCATTGAGAAACATATAGCAACTTTTTGTTTCTTTTTTCCTGAATATGAATCTGTGAAGCATTGGACCTCAGTGCATTCAAGCCTGAAATAATTGCTTCCCATATGAGAATGAGATTGATGCATTGACCATCTGCTAGAATTGCAAATTGTGAATTAGACTTGTTAGTATTGACTAAAATTGTCATCACACTGGCTTTATTTTTCGAACGAATTTAAATTAAAGCAGATACAAAGGTCTTGAGTTAAAAATAATCTTCAATTTTTTAGATAGGGATTTTCAAGTTCAAATCATTTATTATGGGTATGTTTGATTACACGATTGAATTCTGTAACTTGGTTAGTTTATCTTGAATATAACACTTACATGTTTGACAATTTTTTTCCCCCTTTTATGTTGAGTGTGAAATGCAAGTACATTTCAGTTGAATCAAAAGCAAGAAGACTGATGCTTTTTTGAAAATTGGTTTGAAAAGTTAGGTTCAAATTAACTTTCTAGCTATAATTCAAACATACACTATACCATATCATGGAAATTATCACATCAAGATTATTAGCTGCATGACAACTTATGTGATTAGAGAAATAAATATAAAGTTGTTAAAAATGAGGTATTTTTTGGTACTTTCAAATTGATGAGAAAGTCCTTCTTTTGGTTTCTATTTCATCTCATTAGGTTGGATTTATCTTAGGATTATCCTATTATTATACTTTTATTGGGTTAATTTTTTTACAACAAAACGTAGCCATAAACCTAGTTAGGATATGGTTTTTCCAGGGCTAAACAGTCATGAAATTCATTATAAATTTTTTCCGTGTCTTTTGTTGGTTAAACTAGCATTTTGAAACTATGTTGTACAATTGAATTGATAATTGATCAAAGATTGGTAGCGTTTCATTTTTTTAAAATAAAAATTTCGATTTAGGGTATGTTAATAAGGAAGTTTAAGTGCAATTTAAAATTCTTTGTATTAAAATATTTTGCTTGGATAGTGAATATAAAAAGTACTTAGAATTCTAAAATCTGTTAGAGAGTTTTGATTACTTAAAATCATAGATTTTTAAATTTCACAAAAAAAAGTAAATACTTAGAAATGCTCTGTGCTTATATAAATTACATCTTTATTAAAACATGTTTGAGAGGGAAGATCTCAGTATATATGTTTAGTTAGGTTTCTCGACAATTATTAATTAACAAAACTAATAAATATATTGTATTAATAATATAATTATTAAAATAAATAAAATAATACATCTCTATTGTAGACTCAGATTTCAACACACTGTTGTAGTTGTATAAAATATGTGTTTGTGTGTATAAAAAAAAAATATATCGGTATGGAAAAATATGATAGAAAAGAGATTAGTTTCAGTACATACTAAGAAGATATCCTAGAGAATAAATAAAAAACAAAGAGAATTGTCTCCCTTTTTCATCTCTTGTTTTTCATTCCTTTCTCTTTGCTGTCTATTTGGCTCTCCTCCATCCTTATTCTTTTCTCTCTATTCAAGTACAAAAATTTAGAGATGATGAAGGAGTTTGTTTATTTATCAAAATAAAAAAAATGAAAAAATGATTAGCTTATGCAAAAACAAATTTAAAAATAAATGAATTTGATAACTTTATTTAAAAAAGAAAAAAAAAATTCAATTAAAACAATTGAGATTATTTGAATTTTAAATTTTAGAATTCTCAAATACTCCATCAAACACGCACTTAGTGATTTGCACGTTTGCATTAAATTGGATGAGTTGGGAATTCATTTTTTTAAAAGGATAAAGTCAAACAACTTAAAATAATTTTAGAAAACTGATGTTATATCTTCATGCAAACGTTTTATAAATCTTTATACTATCTTATAAACATAGTATTAAATGAATAAATAAACACATTTAGTATTTTAAAATATAAAAACACTTAAAACTTAACATATGAGAGAAGTAGAAAGACTAATAAGATGTTATATAAAGATTTTCAATTTTCTTTATTTAAATTCAGAATCGAGATTGTTAACAGAACTATAAGATAAAGAATAATTTACTGCCATTTTTAAAGAATTTAACAAATATACTTTTTTTTTCTACATTGTCATTTTTCAATCCATCAAAAAATTTATTTTATTATGAATTTTTAGGTAATTAATTTTGGTGTAAAAAAGTAATTAATTTAAAACTTAACAAATTTACTATATAACTTTTTAAGTAATTTATAGTGATTTAAATTTTTTATGTCACTTTATTATCCATCACCTAATTATTTTAAAAATTAAGAAATTTATCATAACATTGCGATGTTTATCTTGAACATGTCGACTGTACCTCAAACAAGATTGTATTAGATAATGGATAATTGTTGTGGGAAAAAAAATTGTTATTAAATGATAAATCAACAAATTCGTTATACTCCATAATGAATATGATTAGATGTCAACTAATGGTGCTATGTATTCATTGTCGAATCACAAAATGTCTCATTAATTGATGCAAAGTTTAGATTGATTTATTTGTATGAAATAGACCAGAAAAAGGTGGAGACCCCTAAGCCGAGTAGAACGCTTCCACAGTTAGACCCTATTCCTACGCTTATATCATGTCACTTGCACACAAAAACACAATAAACAAAGAATTCAAAATCCATACAAAGTCTTCTCTTCTGTCACCAATCGCTAAAATTCATGGACCCTCACATTTTTCTAATGTGATTGTGTCTGTTCCATACGACAAAGTTCACGTTAATCGGTTCCATGTAATGTTGTTGTTACAATGGGAGAGAGAACTGCGTCTGGCTTTGCCATCAAGAAATCCTTGTGTTTTTTCTTCACATTGACCACGTTGTTGTTCATGTTGTCATGGGTGTTTGTTCTTCGTTCCACGCGCTCCGAGGCTACACTTGGTTCCACTACCAACTCAAATCTATTCACTTCCTTTAATGACTCAGATTCTGATCAAGTGCAACAACAAAAGAACGTGGAAGTTGAATCCTCCTTTGGCAATAGAGCAATACTCGTGGACAATGTTGAAGCACCAACAACACTTGTTGAGAAACAACAACATGTGCATGGAGAAGAAGGTGTGACATGCAAACCACGTCACCATGCCGTTTTGAGAGTTTTCATGTATGATTTGCCTCCTGAGTTCCATTTTGGACTATTGGATTGGAAGCCTGAGGGGGGTGTTAACAGTGTTTGGCCTGATATCAAAGCTAAAGCACCCCATTACCCTGGAGGGTTGAATTTGCAACATAGTATAGAGTATTGGCTTACTTTGGATCTTCTTGCTTCAGAAGCTGAAGCATCATCATCATCATCATCTAATGCTAACAGTGTGATGAGAGTTGGAAACTCTAGTGAAGCTGATGTGATATTTGTGCCATTCTTTTCTTCTCTTTGTTACAACCGGTTCTCCAAAACTGGCCCACGTGAAAAGAGGAGCAGGAACAAGGTGCTGCAAGAGAAGTTGGTGAAGTATGTGACATCGCAAGAGGAGTGGAAGAGGTCAGGGGGGAAGGACCATGTGATCTTGGCTCACCATCCAAATAGTATGTTGGATGCTAGAATGAAGTTATGGCCTGGTACTTTCATACTCTCGGATTTTGGGAGGTACCCTCCCAACATAGCCAATGTTGAGAAAGATGTGATTGCACCTTACAAACATGTAGTTGGATCCTATGATGATGATCAATCCAGCTTTGATAGCCGTCCAACGTTGTTGTACTTCCAAGGCGCAATATACAGAAAAGATGTATGTTTATCTCACTCTTTAGTGTGTTATTTTTCTTTTTTTGAATTTGAATCTTTCGCTTTTGTCTTTACATCGTACTCTTGCGTAACTAAGTTTGACACCTTAAGACGGAGCTCCTACATTAATTGATTCAATAACAATATCCGGGCAACTAATTCTTTGGAAAAATGTTGTTTTGGTCATCTTTGTTACATAATTAATTGTACACAACTATTTGATGTATGCACCCTTAATGATAAAAAAATTAAGAGGCTAGAGTTGTGGTTTATTGATAAAACCAGAAATTCAAGTAGTATGTTTTGTAATTCACCTTCATGCTGTGTACGTGGGATTTTATTCCAAAAATGAAATAAATAATGTTGTTAACTCGGAGTTATCAGGAAGTATTGTTTCTCTCCTAACTTTATTCTTTAGGAATTTCTGTTCTCAAATGCTTCTCAGGTTGTATCACATACTCTATCATAGTTGTAAAGGAAAATAATGGAACGAGTTCATGTTTGCAGCTTATGCTGAAGATGAAGACCATATTAATTTCTTCTTTTGAAATATCAAACCTATTGTTGTTGAGTCATCATATGCCTAATAATGTTTAGTCGTTTATTTAGTGAACATTCCAAGAAAAATATTGAAATTATTTTGCTTTTGTTCACTTAATTAAGCTGAGATTCAGTTTTTCCAAATGGCTTCCTTGTTCTGCAAAATTAAACAATTTGTGGATTCAGTTGCTGTCAGCTCATGCTAAATCTACACCGTGCTTCTAGTTGTAGCTAAATTTGCAAATATTTGTAGTTGGCACCAGCACAGTGGAAAAAGTTTGATATTTTGCAGTTTAGATTATAGTCATGTAATTCTTTTTCGTTTAGAATTCCTATAACCAAATGTTATGTTTTTGGTCCTTCCATTCTAGAAAAGCTTATTTCGCTTCATCAGGTGTTCTTACGTGAAAATGTCATGTTACAAAAAATGTTCACATGATATCAGATAGAGTCATGTAAGCATTTTTGATAATTGGACAACATGGAGATCATTAACAATTACTTTTTACATGAGTTAAAAGTGAAAATTGATATATTTGCAGAGAAAATATATTGAAGTCTATATTGCAAATCCAAGTTTCATTTCCTTAGCTTTTGAAATATTCCATGTAATTTACTTTTTGATAAGAAAAGCAGTGTTACTCGACTTGACTTTTTTCCCTCTCAATACTCAGGGAGGCCATGTTCGGCATGAGCTATACTACCTTCTAAAAAATGAAAAAGATGTACATTTTTCATTTGGAAGTGTTCAAAAGGGTGGAGTCAGAAAGGCCACAGAAGGCATGCGTTCTTCCAAGTTCTGCCTCAACATAGCTGGTGACACCCCATCATCAAATCGCTTGTTTGATGCTATTGCCAGCCACTGTGTACCCGTCATCATCAGTGATGAAATTGAGCTTCCATATGAGGATGTCCTTGACTACTCTCAGTTTTGCATATTTGTGCGTACGAGGGATGCTCTCAAGAAGAGGTTCCTGATAAACTTCATTAGGAGCATTGGTAAGGAAGAGTGGACCAGAATGTGGAACAGGTTGAAAGAGGTTGAGAGTTTCTTTGAGTTTCAGTTCCCATCTCAAGAGGGTGATGCTGTCCACATGATTTGGCAGGCTGTTGCACGCAAGGTTCCTTTCATGAAGCTGAAAACTAACAGGTCTAGAAGGTTTTTTAGGTCTCTTTATGGGCGTGCACCACCTGATTTTTCTTGAAAGAAAAATAAGTACTTGTTTGGAGTAAGTTGTGCACCAAAGAGCCATAGGATGTTGTGGCAAATGACTTTAGGTTTCACCTTTAGAAACGTTAGAAGTTAGAACACTTCATAGATATAAATGTATGTAGTGGTTTTGATGCTGACAATGTAACGTTTATACATGAAGAAGATTCATTATATATTAAAGGAAAGTGGAAAGAGGATTTAGGCAATTTGGTTCCACTTGTGTTGTGGTTGGACTTGAGTGTACTGTATACATTGAAAGTGTCTTTGTTTTCCATTTAATCAACCTTTTTCTCTGGGCCTGTTTTGAAAGTGATACAACATTTAATTATCACTTTTCTTTTATCATTCTCTTCATAATTACCACATTTCAACATTATACTGTTGTTCATATCTATAATAACCAAAATGTTAGCAATATGCATATGAACTTTGAAAACTTATGTATAGGACAACAAATAAGCATCTCTACCGATAAAAAATGATAGTTCCCATTGCTTTTTTCAGGGATACACATTTTTTTTCCATATATAAATGCTTAATGAAAATGATGAATTACGTACGAATCTTATTTAGGTGATGACCCAATTTGAGAATGTTGGCTAATAGAGAAAAGACAAAAAAAAAAATTACTCCTTTCTATTTTTTTATATAGTCATTTATGATTTTGAACTAAGACTTAAAGAAATGATTGATATTTTAGTTTTTAAAAATATTTATTACTTATTTTTCTCTTATACTTTTTATTTATTTATTTTTTTTTGCATTCAAATCTTGAGAATGTTAATTTGTGTATATTTATTATTATTATGTACTTTTGAGAAGTTTATGAATTAATGCATTGATTATTAGAATACACATGTAAATTATAACTTATTCTATTTAATCACACTTGTCCATGAATTAATGTATTAATTATTAGAATACACATGTGAACGATAAGTAATCTACTCTATTTAATCACATAAGTAGTTGAAAAAAAAAAAAAGAGTAGATATTAAAAATAAATAAATATATTGTTCAGTAAATATATAATAATTATCAAGAATAAAAATAGAAAAAAAATATTAATTTTAGTAAAATAACAATAAAAGATAAAATGAATATGAAAAAAGAAATGGTTCCGAGATAAATTGGCACACGTGCCGATAGAGAATAAATTGTAAAACCCATCTAAAATCTTAAAACGGCGAGTGTAAGAATGAGAATGGCGATATCTTGTTCTTTTTCTTCAACAACAACATCGTGTTGGTGTTGGTGTTTTTCCCCAACACCGCTTCTTCCCTTCAAACGGCACCGTATTGTTAGCCTGAAACCCTATACTCGGTCTGAGCACAGGCTCGCCGCCGCCACCAGAGAGTCTACTCCGTTACTCTACTCCGGCAGGCAAGGGTTCGATACCGTCAACATTGCCGAAGATGTTACCCAGGTGCTTACTTCCCTTCACAATCTTTTCTCATTTCTAGTCTAATGTGTGAATTCCATTTTTGAACCATTTTGCGAATTCTTGCAGTTGATTGGAAATACGCCAATGGTGTACCTCAACAAAGTTACTGAAGGTTGTGTTGCTAACGTTGCTGCCAAACTTGAGTCTATGCAACCTTGCCGAAGCGTCAAGGACAGGTAACACTACTTAGCTTACATATTCGATTCTTTACTGTTGTCTGTAATTTATTAGGACTTGTTAAATTATGAATGCGACTCCTAAAACGTGGAGTCAGACCTACATTATTTACATAATTTCGTCTCTTGATGATTTTTTTTAAATAATAAGAGAGCATGTTAAAAAAGAATAGAGTGAAAATGTATGATCCTAGAAGAGGTTAATGAATTATTTATTTATTTATTAATTATTATTATTATTATTATTATTCTTTCAACTACTACTATTATTAGGAAAATGCTGAAAGGTACATAACAGTTTTTGTAAACGCATCAAAGTGATTAGAGATTGAATCCTGACTCTTACAAATGCAAAAAGCTTAAGTTAGGAGGGGATGTTCACCTAGTTGGTGCTTGTCAAACCCTCAAGAGAGATTGTTCCGTATTTGACGGGGAATACTCCTTGGTAATGAATAAAAAAAAAATGCACCAAAGTAAAATTTTCTCTCTCATCATGCATATACTCATCTCTCTCATGATTGATTTAGAAATATGTATTTTTTTTGGGTAACCATGTTATTAGTGTGAAGTATTCACCGACTTTGACAATGATTAATTTCTGTTAGAGGATCTGACTGATCACCTTTAATGAGATTTCTATTATAGGATAATATCCTGTAATAGTTTTTCCTCCGAACCTTGTTTTTTTTCTATTCACAAGAGTCGAACTCAAGAATATACTGAAAGGGGCTAAGCCCATACCACTGAGACTAATGATTTGTTGATTTTAGAAAGTTGTTTGTAACACTGAATATTATACTAAATGACATTATTGTCATTATTGTTATTATTTGTTTTGACATGCTTTAGTTTTATTAAGGATTGGTATTTTGATATTTTAGACAGCCATACTAACAAGTCACTAGTATGGCTGATTTTGTTTGAGGATTTTCCACATTCCATGTTTCGTACTTGCAACACACACACAGATATATCATGTGTTAAACGTATGTTGTTGTTCTAAATGGCAGAATTGGGTATAGTATGTTATCTGATGCTGAAGAGATTGGAGCAATTTCTCCAGGGAAGGTACTATATGAATATTCTGCCTATAGATCAATGCAATCTTTGCTTGGATTTTCTTTACATTCCTGACCCTGTATTGGTGCAGACCATTTTGGTTGAACCAACGACTGGAAACACAGGACTTGGCATTGCTTTTGTTGCAGCAACGAAGGGGTACAAACTTATAGTCACAATGCCTGCTTCCGTTAATGTTGAGAGGAGAATCCTTTTACGTGCTTTTGGTGCAGAAGTTGTTTTGACTGATGCTGAGAAGGGGCTAAAAGGGGCAGTTGACAAAGCTGAAGAAATTGTTCGCACCACACCCAATGCTTACATGTTTAGACAGTTTGATAACATGACTAACACAAAGGTTAAGTCTTAATGCATCTCCTATAAGACCTTCACCTTATCAATCATTCTGTTTTGAATTATTTAGTGCATCAGTAAATATAGAAATTACTATATAAATTAAGTTACACTTTATTAAGATTTATATGCACAAATTACAGATCCACTTCGAAACTACAGGGCCAGAGATATGGGAGGATACCATGGGCAATGTTGATGTATTGGTTGCTGGGATTGGAACTGGTGGCACTGTTACCGGCACTGGGCGTTATCTGAAAATGATGAATAAAAATATAAAGGTTTGATTATTTGTTTGATATGCATTTAGTTGTTCTTTCAAATTGAATGAGATACTTATTGGTCCTATGGCTCTAACTTTCACTGCTAAGTATTAAATGAGATACATATCAGTTCCTGAACTCAAATTCCATAACTTGTATTCTTTAGTATTAAAAGAAGTTACATGTAATTGTTGTTGAATTGAATCAGTATGCTGACAGCTTGTGCATTATATTTACCATATTCTAAATCTTTATAGACTTGGTTCTGTGTTCCTCTGTTGGAGAGCGAGAGGGAGAAGGAGAGGAACAGAGAGTAAATAAAGTAAGGAAAAAGGATCCAGAAGGAACACATCAAATTTTAGTTTTTGCCTATTCTAGCATACATTTGATTAAACCATAATTGTATTCAACAATTTCAAGTAACACTTAAATTGTGTTACATGCCTGGGTGTATTAGGCATATGATAGACAATTATCGGTGAATGCTTTGTATGCTTCTTACATTTGAAGTGAAATTGATGCTTTATTTGTTCTACATTCTTTATTAACTTGCTAAAGTGTTCCATATTACGTATTGCGTAGGTGGTTGGAGTGGAACCTGCAGACAGAAGTGTGGTTTCGGGTGACAGTCCTGGTATGAATTTTTTACTTAGTTCATATCATTAGTCTCAAGGTCAATCCACTTAAAACAGATTTTCTTGTCAGCTGTTGACTGTAATGGAGTTTGTTGTAGGTTTCATGCCAAGCATTTTGGATATCAATCTGCTTGATGAGGTTATCAAGGTAAACAAAAATTATTCCTCCCCTGTTGTATGCTGTCCTCTTTATTTCTGGTCAGAATAACCTGCTTGAGGTTATTCTCTTTGGCTTTGGTATTTCTATACTAAAGGACAAGCTTTATGCTTGGAGCATTTTCAGCACTAGGACACATTAAAAGAGCTAAGAACCAGGTGTTTATTATTGGAGACGTTCTTATCATAAATTTAGGTGATAAAGAGAGCAGTTTTGGAGTCTTATACACATGATTTAATTCTTTTATCTCAAGTGTCATCCACTAAACTCTTCTTAGTTATTGCTTTAGTGCCTTTCTGTTTCTAATTATGCCGTGCTGTTATATTCTTAATTTGCATAATTAGATTATTTGAATAATTAATTAACTTGACACATGAAAATACAGGTTACAAATGTTGAGGCCGTCGAAATGGCAAGGAGATTAGCATTGGAAGAAGGTTTGTTGGTAAGTTAAGATATCAAGTAAACCCTCATTCTAATCCATGATATTGTAACTGTTGGTCACTTTAGTCCTTGACTCGACAAATTTCCTGCTTTAGTCCTACAAAATGTCATTCAGTTTAGGCCTTTTTCACTTTATTTTCCACAGTCACAGTCCGTTTGTACTAAAAAGGACTAGATGAAAATTTTGCGAAATTAGGGACTAAAATAACTAATGCTTACATTTTCAAATACTAGAATGAGGGGTTTACAAGTAAAATTTGTTTGAATATATAATTTTCTTTTATGTTTCATATTTTAATGTCAATTGTCAGCAATGTTTTGCAATATTTTGTTGGCATTATGAATGTCTCTGTTTGCATGAAAACTGAAGTATGCGATCTGCATATAGCTTGCTATAGAATTTTTAGTGTGTATATGCTAGATGCAAAATTAAATTTTAGTTATTGGCTTGACATTCTTCATCTTTAGTTTTGTATGTTGCTTAATATTGCAATGTTACTGTAACTACAGTGTATTTTGGTTTATACTTTTTAGAATAGGTTAGATCATAACTAATTCAAATTGCTGTCTAGGTTGGGATTTCTTCAGGAGCTGCAGCAGCAGCTGCCATAAGTTTAGCAAGACGGCCTGAGAATTCTGGAAAACTTATTGTGGTGAGTTTATTTCTCAAATATTCAAATAGGTGTTGAAAATTGAAATTGATAGAATAGAATGAAGCTCGGTGAATTTTTTCTCGCAACTAATTGGTAAACAGAATCATATAATTAGATGTCCTCTTTTACTACTTTTCATGGCAAATTATTCTATCGTTAGTAAAGCTTCCTGATATTTTTTCTTCCTCTGCCTCTTACTTTGCACATTTGAAGGTTATTTTTCCGAGTTTTGGTGAGAGATATATTTCTACTGCTCTCTTCCATTCTATCTATGAAGAGGTTCAGAAAATGTAAAATTAAGATTCTACCTTCATGAGGACAATTTCCTATTGGAGAGTGAAGCTGCTATCATGGCACTACCATTCAAAGAAGTAGCTTCCTTATGCTATGTATAGGTATATCCTTACACGGTTCTTGGATAGAATCAATCTTAAAAGATAAACTGGTCTTCTGTATATTTTTAAATTTTTTGATGTCATGCATCAGATGCATCATTTGGACAAGGCACAGTTCTTGAAGCTGTCACACAGGAAGCAGAAAAGGGGGATTGAAACGATGTAAAAAAAATTTTAAATGTAGTGGTAATCTAACATGATCTATTCTTTTCATTATTCCTACTTTCCCTAGGCATCAATGATGAGTAGTATTCCAATGTTTTACAGGATTATTAACATTCTTTCCCCTATTTACTATTATCAAACTATGTGTCATTATCATATATATACATGTAATGTATATATAGATACATGTGGAAGCAGCAAGGACTAACATGGTTGAGATTGTTTATTAGTGCGCTATACCATTATTTATTCAGCCGAATTATTGCTTGCGTACCGATTCAACATTGTTTCTTCAAATGACGCAGAACTATATTTCATCTAGAGTGATAATTTAATTTTAGTTTTAAAGGAAAATATATTACAAATCAGTTTCAAAAGGGTTGGTTGTACTAATTTTCATCTTGAGAAGTTGCGTCTAGCATGCACCAGGTAAATCACTTGTATTTGTATATAATGTATTAACAAGCATTTGAATGCTGTAAAAAAAAAGCATTTGAAAAAAAAAAAAAAACGCGACAGCCAATAAAAGATATTAATGTTGATTGGTGTTCCACGGAGTAAGTTGTAAGTAGTTCATGGCTTTTATGCCATAAACTGTCATTGCAAAGAAGAGGATATCAGATTTTCTGTTGTTTCTCAATATACCTGATTTTGCAAGTTACATGTACTGGTGAATTGGAAAATTTTGCACGCCAGTAATTCTTCTTTCAGAGTTAAAAATTGTTATGTAGTTAAAAATAGCTAGTCTTTAAAATTCCATTGACCTGTATACATCTATTATTTCTTTGATTTTTCTTCCATGGTTTCTTATTGGAAGCAATCATTTCTAGACAACAGGAGTTCCTTCGTGAATTAACGTTTGTCATATGTTAATTCTTTACCCTGAAAACTTTAGTTAACTTCTACAAAATTCCAATCTATTTTTTTTCCCTTTCATTTAATGTACTTTTTACTCTTCATTTTCTTGCATTGAATTTGAATGCTTAGTTGGTAATTTGTTCTATTGGGATTAGGGAGGAATAGAGCAAGGACGAGTTTTTAATCTTGTTGCTCTCACCATCAATACACTGTCCGCTTTACAATAGATAACACTCAGGATCATTCATAAGAGAAAAAAGTTTATGTTTAGTGATGCCTAATCTTGTCCTACATTTTTATACATATTTTTTTTTTTGACAAAAGTAATTGAAAAGTTGGATGATTACTCTTCTTAGTTGTATTACAAAAATATTTTATATGCGGAGGAATATTATATTATACATTATCTGTTGTAAACTCTTGTTTACTTAATGGTTTTATATCAGAACTTTTATAATAAATTAAAGTATCTTCAAGTCAAAAATTAAGGATGAATCTAAATACACCTCAATAAAGATTACATGTTAGATATTCACATGTAATTTATTTATTTTTTACTTTGAATTGATTTTGAAATCACCTAAGCATGGACAAACTGAACACAGCAGTAACACAGGCTTATTTAACAACAACAAAAACAGTTATATTTACAACATTAAATATATATTTTCCATTATATCTTTAACTATTGATTGTAGAGTAAGAAAATATAAAAGGAGCATAGATGAGAGAGAATTTAATTAATATGAAAGATAAATAGTATGTTAAGAAATTGCATAACAACACATCTAAAATATTAATTGTATTTCTTAATATGCATAAAAACCTTAAATGTCAAGAGGGAGTATTATTGAAGTTCCTGTGGGCATTAGTCTAATTTTCTGTTATTAATGGTCCACGTGGGGGGCAAGGGATAGTGTGGTGCTTTGGGCCATGGCTTGGGGATGATGAGTTGAGAAAACAACTCCATAGATGTTAATTAAATCTTTATTGGATCAAATGGTTTACAATAAGAAAATATATGGATTTTTTTTCTGAAATTAAAGTCCTTTTCATCCTTTTATTGTAATGAGACTTGTTTCAGTCCCATCATATTCGTAGGGTAAGTCATTATTTTTGCTTGTGAAATCTCTTGTATTCATATTGCAAGTGTTTTCTCCGATGTTGTGCTATTTAAGGTAAATTCAAGAGTGTGATGAAGAAGGCATTGGAGAGTAAGAATTTACACACTCAAGTTAGTAAGAAGTGTAAAAATAAGAATTAGATTCACATTTGGTAGGCAAAACACCCTTATACAATGGTAAGAAAGCTCTTTAATTAAGTTGTTATATTGAGGTCACATGTAATGTGTGGTCAATCAACCAACTTAATAAGGTTAGCACTACTAACTCGATCTTGGTACAAGTTAGCCATAAAAGTTTCAAAGTAAATTCAATCTTGATTGAGTGAGATTTGGAAAACAAAACATAAAATAGTGGACTCTAGTACCGGACGGTCTATATAAAAACTTAGAAAGAAACCAACAAACTCAAATATTCAAATTTATAAAGAGGAGCAAAAATTGATGCAATACATTTAGGTTATAACATTGAGAGTGTTATAACAAGTATTTAAATACTAAAGTTAATTAATATATATAATTTGGTAAAGTAAAAAACAAATTGTAATTAAACAAATAAACAAACATCATTTTTGTCTTTAGTTACAAGAATCTTTAATAAAACTTACAAGTAAAATATAAAACTATAAAAACTTTAAAATATTTAATTATATATGATAATAAAAAAAAATTTACTTCCAACATGGAGTCCTTGATGTAGAGGATTTATTTTTTCCTATAAAACTGATTAGTATAGTGATGCAATGTACATACCCATAATCTAGAGTTGAATCCAAAACATAATACATACATAATTTATTATTCATTAATATTGTGTATATAATATCAATGATGAGAGATCAAATCTAAAGTAAAATTAAAAAGAATTATTCCTCACCATTATTTTTTTTACACTAACAATTAAAGATAAGTTCCCGTTAGAATTGTTACTATAAAAGAAAAAGAAAGTTGAGAATAAAGTAACTTTTATCCCCCTCAATATGAATTATTCATATTACTTTAGTTGTTCACACATAATTGACCTATTAATATTTGTTGACTCTTCAACTCTCAAATGGGAACCGTACAACATGGGTTTGAATGGTTGGTTCTATCCAATTAGAGTTGTATTTGTATCTTAAGTTTTCGAAATTCTTAAGATAAAAGTTTATACCTAGCTACATATTCAAAAACAAACGAAATAGTTTCTTCCAAACCATAACAGAAGCATTTTTTCCTCAAGCTTCTATATTATGTTTACATTTAACACTTCACCCACGAGTCAAAAGCATAAATATTGTTACATTTTTTTTCTAGGTCCCAAAATGGGGAAACCAGCAACGTGCAACCGTTATTCTTTATTTTAAATGAATGAAAAATTTAATTTCCATTTACATAGTTGTTCCATTTGAGTGACTTGTTTTCTTCTTCTTTTTGGTCATACAATAACAAGAGTACCATAGTACAGTACAAGGTTATCACTTAACACTAACAAAATCTTTATAATTATGGTCGAAACTTACCTTTGTTTTTCTTAGGTTTGCTCCATAATGACCCCTATTATAAATTTAAGAAATTGTCACTCCTTTTCTGCCGTCAATGGTCCCTGTGCTTAGCCTAATTTGAAGGCCAATTAATGTCATGGACTTGTAGTAAGCAAACCACACCTCATTTTCCACATTATATAATAGATGTTGATTTACAATAGAGAGAAAGAGAGAGAAACCTAATGGTTTATATTAGGAACAAGACAAAAACTTAAATTGCATTGAAGGCAGTGGGATCACATTGTAATTGGGCAATAACAATGATTTAGTAGGTAGTCCCATTTAGTATTTCCTTGTGTAGCTGACTTGTTTCAATCCATACTTAACTAAAGTGAGAATCTTCCATGATACGTTTTTCATGTTTAAATTGTAAGTTCAGAATTAATTCAATTTTATAAATTTAACTTATAAGATAAAAATTACTCTTATTTAAATAATTTATTTTGATCATATTATTAATTAATGTGAAACCTATAACATACCTCTCATGTTGAGAACAAAATACTGTAAGTGTTAAATTTAAATGACTTGACATTTATTAGTAGTTCGATAACAACCTAATAAAATAGATGACTTTATAGCATGATAAATTCAACAATAATTATTATGATGAAGTTTAATTAACATTGATATGAACTTTAAGTTTAATTCAATATTCTAATTACTTTTACTTTTTTTTTTTTGGTTCGTCCCTAGAGTATCCACCGCCGATAGCAGTGACTAATCTCTTCGCTACGTTGGAGGCACCTCAAAGAGTGTGATAGCTGGCTCCAAGATTTAACGCGACTGCATACACAAGGCAGGATTCTAATTATCTTTACTTATATACATTATTTTGACCATTTTATATATCTTATATAAAAATAAAAATAAAAAGTGCCACGCGTGCATCTTCAAACATGTGCAGGATGGGGTGATGAAGCTTCACTTGGCATGTTGTTGTGGTCCCATGTATGGACTTGTTTTATGTTTTGCACAAAAGGGAGGGTCTATTCATGAGGATCATAACAAATGGTTATGGAACTCTTATCTCACATGACAGCCATGCAATGTTAGGTAAAAATTATAATAGCAATGTGGGAAACGGATTTAATGGTGGTGTGAAATTTTACACGATTAGCATCAATCCTCACTTAATTATTGGGACAATTCAAAGATACGTTTTGAATTATGTGATCTTCCTGGATTTTGCAGTTAAATATGTGTACATAAATGTCTATGCATCGCAATAGAGGAACCTAACATATTCAATTGTCATTAAAATATAGTATGTATCATAAATCTATTCTCCTACTACAATTTTTTTTATGGGTCAAAATTACTATAATAATAACAAAGTTTAAATATAAGATCATAAATTATGTGTATATTAGCCTAACTCTCTATTATTAATCTGACCTTAAATTTTTGAAAACTTATATATAATTAACTAAAAAAATACTATATTATCTTAGAATCTCTTTTCCTATAAATCTTAGAGCAATTTCAGTGTTGTTGTGTGTAGAGTGAGTTGCTTAAATTCAAGCGTAGCTTTTAATAAAGGAAAAAGTTCCACGGGAATAAAAAAAAAAACTTTTTGTTATAAAAAAAGTAATTAATGGTAAATAAAATTTTAACTATCCAACTATTAAATTAAGGATTTTTAATGAGTAAATAAATATGTAAATTTTTACAGAATTCAAAAATCATCTTATATTTCATTTTATTAATTCAAATTAAGTATTA